AAAAATTCTAGATTTTTTAACAATTTCAAAAAATCATAAATATAAAAATCAAAAATTTAAAATTTCACAAAAATTTAAATTTTCAAGAAAATATTTGTTTTAATTTGGGAATTTTAATTGAAAACGAAATTAAAATTTATAAGAATTAATAATTTTAAAAGTTTAAGAATTTTTCAAAAAAAATTTTTTTTTCATTTTTAAAATTTTAAGAATCTTCAACAATTCTGTATTACGTAAATTTAAACAAATCTAAAGAAAAACTGGGTTTTATTAATAGTTTTATTTAATTGGGAATTTTTTTGAAGAAAGAAATTCTCAAAAAATTCTCAAAAAAAACAAATTTCTCGAAAGTTTTAGAGTTTTCAATAAAAACAATTAATTTATGATTTCGAAAATTTTGGAATAACAATTCTGAGATATTAAATTAAATATTGAAATCTAAAAAAATGGGTTTTAAAAAATGTCACATAAATCTATTTGTTCCAAAAATTTCAGAATTAAAAAAAAAACGTTTTTTTCAGAAAAATTATTCAGCTCCAAAAATTTGTTTCAGCTCCAAAAAGTTTACAATATATAATTGAAATAAATGCATTGACCTTTGCAGTTTAGAAAAGTTTATATATTTTATATAATTCTTGGAAATATAAGATAAGGTCCTCAAACGCTCTCGTTCCAACTCGAATTGACTAGATTTTATTTATAATATGTTAAGGAAGTTCCAGCAATTTGCTATAAGGAAAGATATCAGGCACCACTAGTAGATAATTTTTACTTTACCATCAAATAACCTTCAAATGCATTTCCTCCTTCGGGGGTATACCCACTACACCTCACCCCTTTGTACATCGTCTACTTTACTAAGTCTTTCCGTCGACTGGGTGTGGGTGGTAGTAGTGAACGAGTGATATTATTATATCATATTATATTATATTGTATTTTGTTGTGTCGTGTGAATTGTTATTGTGTTTTAATACACTCGGATGCTATGTACATCATCATCATCATCGCGATTCTGCTTCTGCTTCTGCGAACGTTTATTATGATGCGATTACCAAAGCATAGTTGAACAAGTCTCAATTGAAGTACACTGATATATTGTATAGGATTTTGTGCGAACGGGGACATTTATTAACGGAGGACTTGGAAAAATGTGCAAGATTTTAGAAAATTCAAGGGGAAAACTGATAGAAAACAGAAAATTAGCACCATGGGTTAAACACATAACAAATGTGCGTTACATTGTTTTAGTTTCATTCGCACTCAACAGAGGGTTTGCTATGCCCAAGTTTATTATTAATTTACTAACTTCCCGTAGGGTAAGTTATTGTAATCGCAAAAAATTGAAAATAAAAATTTTCATATTTCTTCACGTTTTAAAGGTTTCTGAACTTTTTGGTATGTGTGTGCGAATACATGTTTTCGGCGCGTCCGATTTGAATGATTCAAAAATCATTTTACTGTATTGATTAAGTCTAGCAGTTCGGAGATTCTATGAAAAAAGTAACAAAAATCATCATTTGGCGATTGAGATTTTATGAGTATAAATTTGGTTTACATTTCTATGGATTACGTAATATTTTGTATCCGTTAGACTGCGTAGCGACGCTTACGCGCTTCGATATTTTTTTTCTCCTTTATTCTTCAATGACTATTCACTACAAAAAATTCAAAATAATAAAACAAAACACTTTTTTCAAAGTTTTTTTTTAAAAAAAAGTGGAGTATTTTTTAAAAAAATAATTTTGTCTCCAGTTTTTTTTCAAAAATGACTATCTACTTAAAAAATTTCAGAATCCTCAAAAATTTACTCTTTTCAGTGTTAAAAAAAAAATGTTGAATATTTTTCAAAAAAATAATTTTGTCTCTACTTTTTTTTCAAAAATGTCTATTTACTTCAAAAATTTTAAAATTCTCAAAAATCTAATTTTCAGTTTTAAAATAAATGAATAATTTGAATATTTTCTAAGAACATTAATTTTGGCTCTACTTTTGTCAAAAATGACTATTTACTTCAAAAGTTTCAAAATTTTTAAAAAACCACTTTTTTCAAAGTTTTTTTAAAAAAAAGTTGAATATTTTTCAAAAAATTTATTTTGTCTCTACTTTTTTTTCAAAAATGAGTATTTACTTCAAAAATTTCAAAATTCTTAAAAATCCACTTTTTTCAAAGTTTTTTTAAAAAATGTGAAATATTTTTCCAAAAAAAATAATTTCGTCTCTACTTTTTTTTTTCAAAAACGACTATTTACTTCAAAAATATGTTACTTTTTAAATATGTTTAATATTTTTCAGAAAAAAATAATATTGTCTCTACGTTTTTTTCCAAAAACGACTATTACTTCAAATATTTTAAAATTTTCAAAAATCCACTTTTTTCAAAGTTTTAAAAAATGTTGAATATTTTTTTTAAGAATTAATTTCGTCTCTAAAAATGAATATTAACTTAAAAAAAAATAAAAATTCAAAATTTTAAAAAAATCCATTTTCTCAAATATTTAAAAAAAAAAAAAATTTGTCTCTACTTTTTGTTTTCAAGAATGACTTTTTACTTCAAAAATTTAATATGTTCAAAAATATTTTTTTTCAAAGTTTAAAAAAAAGTTTTTTATGAAAATTAATTTTGTCTCTAATTTTTTTTCAAAAATTTTAAAATTCTTAAAAATTCACTTTCTTCAAAGTTTTCAAAAAAATGTTGTATATTTTTCAAAAAAAAAATAATTTTTGGCACTGAAAGTTTCAGCAATTTGCCTTAAGGCACGATGCACCATACACCACTAGTTATTTGAATTTTTTAGACTCCGATCGCCTATAAACAAAATTTTTTCAACTTTATCACTAGAAGGGGAGTTTGTGGCGATATTAGACTTCAGTGTTTTTTATGATGTTTGATAACAAATTTGTCATAACTTTGGACTTCAGACTTACGCATATTCCTGACGACTTACAACAAAATTGTTGTAACTTCACCACTAGAAGGGGAGTGATGTGGCAGTACTAAGCGCCGGAATTTAACATTTTTATTGAAATTCTTCAGTCGATTTACTTATTTTAAATTTACGCATATTCCTGATGGCTTACAAACAAAATTTTGTGAGTTTATCACTCGGAGGGGAGTTTGTGGCGGTACTAGCCGACAATGTTTTTATATGTTGTGCACAATTGTAACATGACACATTTTGTTGAGATTTTCTATTTATTTAGTCAATTATACTTAAAGTTTTGGTATGTGTATTTTGTTTTCATAATGATATATTTTGGCCAAATTTACGAAAGTCCTTTATAAATGTTTTGGATAATCAACTATTTAAAAATTGTTGATTTGGAAACTTTCCTTAAGGCAAAATGCCACTTACACCGAGTTGAATTTTTTTGTCATTCTCATTTCTATTTATAAAGTCCTCACGTGTATTCCTACCATATGGCGAAACGTTTATTTCGCTTTAAAATATATAAATTGCACCACAATAGGTATTTAATACAATGAATATATATATATATATATATATATATATATATATATTATATATATAAGGGGAGACTAGGGTAAAACTAAGAACAAGACATATAAATCAATATATCACCTACTAGTAAAACTTTTATGAAATTATGCTACTAGAGTTAATAAAATGGGTATCTTTTGACCAAGTGT